TAACTAGACTTCAGATCATGCAATTATGTGAAAATACTTGGCTTTCTGCATTGCTTGCTCTCAGTTAACTTGTGTGGATACACCAATGTGTGTGTTGAAAGCTGAAAACAGAAATGTTAAGACTTGGAATAGGCATGTACTTATATGTTCAAATAAAGTAGGTTATGGTTGCTTCCCACCATGAATAATTGGATGGTAGCCCCTTCCCTGTGTGCTTTTGTTGGAGTATTATGCAAATTTGCTTTGCTGGAGTATCAGTGATACACAGCTGTGTTATTTGACCCACAGTAGATTAGAAGATAATTAAAACTTGGTTGTTTTGAAACACAATGATAGTGTTGGGAGGATACACAGAGTAGGCACTTTTTCTAGCTTCCAATAGATAGCATCAGAGTATTCATAAAAAGACTACAGTAAACTATATGTAAAAAGCTCCCAAACACCTGTATTTAACAAGTTTATATCCTCTAATCAATGAAATAGTGTGTTAGAAGTAGCAAAGGACCACCTCAAATCGTTTACTTTAATCACTTGCTAGGCTTTCCAGGTCTGCCAGTTTCACGAGGAACAGTTATCTGTATCCTTAGCAACCAGACTGTTAGTATGATAAATCATGGGAGTGGATGAGAAGTTTTAGACAACAAGCTCAATGCTAGAGTAGTCCATCAAGAAGGTAGTCAGAAGAGGAAGATGACTTCAGTTTTGTCAGACCAGGCCATCAGGGAAGAAGCTATAGCTAGTTTGGTCTTTTAGAGACTTGCCCACTAGAACGAAGCATGCATGACTGTTGAACCAAGCAGAAATCCTAATGTTCTTACTGTCTTACTGCAGGTTGAATCTGGTTGTCCGGGGCTCCGGGGATTCGGAAGCAACCCTGGTTTTTGTCGAAGTATTACTGTGAAGCCGGTGTTAGGATGGATATAGTTGCGCAAAGACTGATTCGTGGTGCACCCAACGAAAACTCTGGTTCGATGTTTCAGTGTTGAAAAATTAACATGAATAATCAAGGATTTGGAAGATTTATAGCCGTCGAGAGGAACTGAGTTAATATTTAGGCATGGTTATCGATGGATGTTACTTGGACGTGAAGAGTTGACCGAACCATGACATTGCAGCAGTTGAAGTTTGACGTCATTATCGTGCATCATGTTGAGTCGAATCGAATTTGGTGGAACATCCTATTCGATGTCAGAGTGGTAATGATGTGGCGTTCGTGTTAGGTCTCCTGGTTTCAACTCAGCATGTTGAATTTCATGCGAGCTCCAAGCAGTCCATGTCGTCTACCTTCTGATTTCAACTCATGCCTGCGTCGTATGCGTTGTTTCAACACAACCGGAGATTATTCTCTCATTTCATTCAAGTCAAAACAAAAAAACCAATTTCTTTTCCAGTTCAGACGAACCAGCGTTGACTTCAATGATTTACTTGGGTAAATTGCAGTATCTCTTGTTTGACATATTACAACGTATTGCAATCATTTTATCATGCATATGGGAAAATGATTTTTGGCTCGAGGAAAGTGGAGGGCTCCAATCTTGCACTTGAACAAGCTATATCTCAAAAGGTTGATCCACTCTCCATGATTCATAACTTCATCTATCATGTTCCACAGAGGTCTTAATCTTCAAAACCCATGTATGGTCAAATCCTTACATGCTGAACCAATTACATTCTGGTTTTTTGACACAATATTTTTCTTATTATATTATATTATATTACATTATATATATATATATATATATATATTTATTTATATTTATATTTGTGTGTGTATGTGTGTTTGTGTTCTTTACTCGCTTGATGTCTGATGTAATGACCACAAACATTTAAAGATCTATGTGTCAATCAATCATATACGTAACCCACCATAAACTGTATAGTACTATTATTATGGCCATGTTTTCCCTTCAATAAGAAAGGACTTGGGAGATTAATTAGTAAACAAATGCACGCGGACAGGATCGTTCGGCTACGTGCACTCGGCCCAGCCCTCCTTGGCGACTCGGACTTCGCGTTCGGCGACCCGGGCGATCCGCGACGCGGCGGCGGCGATTAGCCTCGCAGGCACTCCGGAGCACGCCTCCAGTCGCCGGAGCGCCACCCAACTGCCCCTTTCCGCTGCCGCATCCTGCTCCCGGAGCTTGACAGCGAACCACAACGCGGCCGCGAGGGCCACCGGTAGTGGCAGGGCCGCGGTCGTTTCCTGGTGCAGGCCAACCACGCGGGCCGCCGCTTCCACGCACCGCCGTCCGCGCCGCAACCCCATCCTCCGGCTCCAGCCTAGCAGGACGGCCTCCACCCTCTCCTCAACCACCCCGCGTCGTCGCTTTGTGGCCGTCCGCCGAGGATCTGCGGGCTTCTTCGCCCGAGGCGCTGCCGTGGACTCGGAGGTGGAGAGGCTAGAGCTAGAGGACGAAGAGGCCTCAGAGTGAGAAGGGGGAGCAGCAGGATCGGGATCGCAGGAAGCGCAGAGGGGGCGGACCCGCTGCGGACCTGCGCCGGAGACGCGACAGCCAGCGTCGAGGGAGTGGCAAGCGGCACAGGTGGCCTGGCGGACGTGGCGAGCTACGAGGAAGTTGGCGCCGTGAACGGACGCGTCGCAGGCCCAACAAAGGAAGGCCGCGTCCGGCTCGCAGTAGACCGCCGCCTCGCCCCCGCAGAGCGCACAAGCAGGCCGCTGCTTCATCTCCGAAACTCCCGGTGCAGAAGGCGGAGGTGGGAATGTTTTGCAGGGAGGAGGAGTGGTGTTTGGTAGGGATAACTTGGCTTCTTGGGGGAAGGAAGTTATTTCCCTTGAAGAGCTGGCGTTAGGTGGCAATACAAACGAATAATGTTTGATATCTGTATATATAAACATAGATACAGGTAAAGAATGGACTTGGGGTCGTTGTAGAGCCATCGCTGGCCAGGCCACGAACCGCCTTCGTTTCCAACTGTTCATTTTCCTTCTTTTATTTTATCATTTTTATTCGTTTCCAGAAAAAAAAAATCCCGCAATGACTTAACTCTTTTTTCGTTGTTTCAATAATTTTATTTTTGCTCATTTTCCGTGGTGCTTAATTGATCACTTCGTTAACCCCCCGGGATGATTGATTAGTCACAGGTGACGGGCCCCGCACAGCGAAACCACTGCTACTTCCAGTCACGAAGCAGGTGGGAGGTTCGGGTTGGTTTCACTCATTTAACAAAACGACACGCCACACGGGGCCCAGCAAGTCTCGTCCACGGTTCGCGTCTATTTCTGACCACGAGACAAAATATCTGCCCGCGGGCCCCGCGGGTGAGCGAACACGTGGCCGATCCTTGTGGCGCCGCGAACCGCCTCTCTACATCGACCGACGAAATCACCATCGCGCGAGACCACAGGGAGAGTTGATGTGCTCTCCCAGGGCACACGAACACGTGGCCGTTCTTTGTGGCTCCGCGAAAACGAAGCTGGCCTTCGCTTGCTTCAACTGACGAAAACACCCCCGCGACCGTCGGGAGAAGGGGAGGGCGCGCGTGGCACTGAAGGCAGCGACGCATCACGGCCACTCGTTTGGCGATGCGATGACGTCGTCGTACGATGGGAACACCGGCGCAGCATGGCACCACGCATGCGAGTGCCAGCGGCGCGGGCGAACACGTGATACTGGAGATCTCCACGTGTGCCCACATTATAGTCGCATCACTTGATCATCTCACGTTCCTAACTCTCAAGTTATGGCCTAACCAATCAATCGAGCCACCACTAATTCCAAAGCAAGCAAGAGGGATCACAGAAATGAATTAAGGATATATCATGTTGGACGACCTCAACGATGAGAGAGAGAGAGAGAGAGAGAGAGAGAGAGAGAGAGATCTTGTCAATTTGCAGAGCAACAGGGGATGGGAAAGCAACGCCATGAACTCGGCCTTCACTTTTCTACGAGGCGGTAGCGGTGCCAACGAAGGCCACTAGCTTGCTGGCTCGCTTGTGATCTCATGTGCATCGCCTGCCTCCGCTTGGGTCACCGGAGACGCCATGTGTGACTTGTGCAATCTGGACGTCGAATTGCATCAGGACAGGTTTCTTGTCCTGACCTCCGCAGACGAGTGATTGTGGTTCTCGAATGCTTTGGATGTGATATGATGTCAAGCACCAACTCGGCTCAAGATCATCCGTCAGGATAAATAGGCCTTAATAGTAATTATACCATCATAATGAAGGTGCAATTAGTGTTGACGTTGGTCATTAACAATTTGGCTTGGCAGAATAGATCCGACCTTAGAAAATCTAGCCTTGAGAAGATCTAATACACTGGCTATGCTGTCCATCAAACATTCACGTCAGTAAAATATTTAAAAATAGTTCACGATGGAACTTGAGGTTTGGTAAGGAAAAAGAGAGTTTAAATCATCATTGATTCTATTTTGATTTATGGGATGTGGTAGCCAATTTTTTTTATCGGACTGACTCCACCTGTATAACACATTAGTCATCTAAAAAATTGATATTAATTTTATGATTAGGGAAATATTTTCTCAATCAATCAGATATGTCCATTTACTGATCGGATAAAAAAAATATTAGTCATATTAAAAAGCATTGATTTTAATCTTGTTGTAAGAAAATACTTTCACAAGGTAAAAGATCAAATACCCCGACAAGCTAAAGAGAGCACCAATGCAGACAGGACACCACATCAGGCAGCACACCGCAAAGTTACTCGGCAATTAGGGTTGGTTGCATGCATATAGCAATGTACAAAGAACGAGATTAAGATTTACAATTTGTGGAATTGCACTCTCTATCCCCACCTGATAGATAGATACATTATAGTCTTTTCAAGCTCTTAGTTCCTTGCATCAATCTTCTGCTTATCCACCTGAGCATTTTTTCAGGTTAAGTGACAATGAATTGCCAGTGCTCTTCTTCTTATCAACCTCGTCCCTAATTGCCAGTGCTCCAACAACAGGCTCCACTTCTGTGACGATGACAGCATTCAGATCTTGCGCGTTTGTATACCTGCTGCTTCGGAAGACGTGGATAATGGGATGGGAGGCAGGGGCTCTTTGCCGCTAGATTCCGTGTTTCTCTTATTCACATTTAAAGCCGTGGTAGACTTGCAGATTGCTGCGGTCTTGGCCTTCGACTTAGGTCTAAGAGCATGTATTCTAGTATATAACCTGCACAGGTGCAACATTAAACCATGAGAAATCTCCATCCTTTGCGTTTATCGAAAACCAACCCTCTCCATCCTATGAGTTATCGAAAACCAACTCAAAGTGGATAAAAATACTTCCGTAAAATTTGATCCGTAGGAAAGACAATTCTACTACCTATTAATGCATTTTGAGTGTTCCATTCACTCTGATAGTGAGTGATGGAAATCATCAACTTAGTAACCATACATCCTAATAGCTAAAGAGCTACAAGACATATGAAATGCAAATTCACACTCAATTGAAACAAGATTGATCGTTCGAGATTGAAGTAAAAAAAATTATTCTAATCACTTTATCAATAAAAAATTGATGAAATAATTAGAATAACATTTTGATTTCCTTAAAACGTCATAAACTAAGAAGTTTGATAAGTTAAAAGGAAAAACAAAGAATTTTGGGTTTTGAACACCAAAATCAGAAAAGTTTGATAAGTTTCAAAGTTCATGTAATAACTTAAAAATAAAACACTCACTAATGGTGAAAAATGATTATACTTCTGAATTGCCTAGTTACAAAGGGAGTTGGCCTTGTTTATATATTACAAATGCCAAGTATAAAGGGTAATCCATTAAATGATATTCATATTCCCAACTCGTAAATGTATATCATTCATGAATCTACTTTGAACTTATTTGAATGGCTAAATATTAGATCATTCGTGAATAAGTCCACAATTCCTAATATGGTCTAACATGAGTGAATGACCTTTATTCTTCAAAATGAGTTAAAATTTGTCATTCTCTCAAGGCTAGGCTTTTTCTTTATGATTTGAACTTATTTGAATCATGTTGACTATTTTAGACTCTTTTTGCATCTATAGAACTTTTACCGAGTCTTGACCAACTTGCTCTTTCAAATAAATAAGTCAATGCTTCTTTCATCATTTTAGCTTTAGTTCTTGTCAATGGTCCTTCATGAATAGTTGAAGGGTCTTTGGTAGAATTGTGATCAACTTACTGGTTCATATCATTCCCCATTTCCTTGAAAGGATTCATCCTCAAATCAGCAACTTCATCAAACAAAGATAAATAAAAAACATTGAAGGTTGCATTATATTGCTATACTCACGTGGTAGTTCAAGCTTGTATGCATTGTCATTGATTTTTTGAAGGACTCGAAATGGACCATCTACTCTTACATTAGTTTAGACTTCCTTTGGCTAGAAAATCTTTCTTTGAGTGTACCCAAACCCAATTACTAGGTTCAAATACTACTTACTTTCGGCATTTGTTGTGTTGTTTCTCATATTATAGAGTTTTCTTTTCAATTTGTGTCTAGACTCTTTCATGCAATGCTTTGACAAAATCATCATTTTGCTTACCATCCAAATTGGCCTTTGCCAAAGGTAAAGATAGCAAATTTATAGGAGTTAATAGATTGAACCCGTACACAACTTCAAATGAGGGATGGTTTATTGTAGCATACACACTTCTGTTATAAGCAAACTCCAAATGTGACAAACATTCCTCCCATTTTTTTAAATTCTTTTGAATTATAACCCTAAAAAATATTGATAAAGTTCGATTTACCACCTCCATTTGTCCATCTGTTTGTGGATGACAAGTGGTTGAATACAACAACCTTGTACCCAACTTGCTCCAAAGTGTTTTCCAAAAGTGGCTAAGGAACTTCACATCTCTATCACTCACAATTGTCTTTAGAATGCCATGTAATCTCATAATTTCTTTGAAGAACGACCCCACAACATGTGTTGCATCATCTGTTTTGTGGCAAGGAATGAAATATGTCATCTTGCTAAACCTGTCAACAATAATAAAAATATAATATCTCCCTCCTTTTGACCTAGGTAAACCCAAGACAAAGTCCATGAATATATCAACCCAAGGCTCACTAGTTATAGAAAGAGAAGTATATAACTCATGAGGCATTACTTTAATGGCAAAAAAAAAAAAGATCACTTAACACATCTAAAGTTTTTTAAACCCCAAAACCTCCACTATGTGCCTCTCTCACAAGTAATTCTCTCATTGAACATTGAGAAACACATAGCTTGTTTTCTTTAAAAAGAAAACCATCATATCTAAAGAACTTGTCAAAACCCCCTTTCTCGCATGCCCCATAAACTTTCACAAAATCATGGTCAGAATTGTATAAATCTTTAAAGTACTCAAAACCCATTAATTTTGCATCAAGTTTAGAAATTAGAGTCTACCTTCTAGAAAGAGCATCGACAATCATATTTTCCTTACCTTGTTTGTACTTGATGATGTATAGAAATGATTCAATAAACTCCACCCATTTAGCATGCCTGTGGCTTAGCTTTCCTTGTCCTTTGAGATATTTCAAGGACTCATGATTAATGTATATAAAGAATTTCTTGTACCAAAGATAGTGCTGTCATGCCTCTAATACTCTTACGAAAGCATAAAACTCATTGTTATTTGTCGGGTAGTTAAGGCTTGCTCCACTTAGCTTCTCACTAAAGAACACAATGGGTCTTCCTCCAAAACCTATTCCACTTGCATCACACTCAATCACAAAAGTTTCGGTAAAGTTAAGTAAAGCAAGCAAAGGTGCTAAACTGAGTTTATTTTTAAGCAAGTTAAAGGTATCATCTTATTCTTTACCCCCACCTAAATCTCATATTCTTTTCGATGCATTCAATTAATGGTGCAACAATTGTAGAAAAATCCTTAATGAATCTTCTATAAAAGTTAGCAAGATCATGAAAGCTTCTAACATCACTAACACTAGTGGGTTTTGGTAACTCCCTAATTATTTTTTCTTGATTAACATGTATTCCTTTATCGTTTACAATATATCCAAGAAAAATAATTTCATTAGTACAAAAAGTGCATTTCTTTAGATTAATATATAATTTTTCTTTTCTAAGTACATCAAAAACAACTTTTAAATATGTTATATGCTCATCTAAACTTTTGCTATATACAAGTATATCATCAAAATAAACCACTATAAACTTTCCAATGTAAGCATGCAAAATATGGTTTATCAATCTTATGAAAGTGCTAGGTGCGTTAGTTACCAACCATACGCATAAATCATGTTTAGTTTTGAAAGCAGTTTTCCATTCATTACCCTTACGCATTCTTATTCGATGATATCCAGATTTCAAATTAATTTTTGAAAACACATAAGAACCATGCAATTCATCCAACATATCATCTAGCCTAAGAATAAGATGGCAATACTTTATCGTGATTTTGTTTATGGCTCTGCAATCAACACATATTCTTCAAGATCCATCCTTTTTAGGCACCAACAGAACAAGAACTACACATTGACTCATACTTTCTTGCACATATCCCTTTTCCATAAGCTCACTTGCTTTTAGATTTCCTTGGTCTCTTCGGGGTTGCATCTATATGTTGGCCTATTTGGTATGCTTGTACATGGAATGAAATCAATTTAATGCTCAATTCCTCTAATTGGTGGCAAACCATTATGAACTTCTTTGGGAAAGAGATCCTTATTTTCCGACAAAAGATCAACAATAACACTACGCAAACTCTTGTCAATTTTATTAGAAGCAATCAAAACATCCTTATACATAATTATAAGTAAGGGCTGCCTTATGGTTAAGGCTTTTTTCATATTACTTATTTTTCTTTCACTCAAGCTTTCCTTGTTTTCTCTCCCCTTATGTTTCCTAACACTCTCATTTTTACCACTCAATTCACCTTTTTCTTTTTTCTCTCTTTCTTGCTCCCTTCATAAAGTTTTGGTTAACGAAGATTCAAGCTCCTCATATTATTGTTTTATGCGCATTTGGTCTTCAAAAATTGTCTTTGTAGGCAAAGGTCCAAGTTGATATTTTTGTCCATCCATGATAAAAGAATAATGGTTCTTAAACTCATCATGTATTATCCTTCGATTATATTGTCATGGTCTCCCCAACAACATGTGACCAGCATACATAGGTAGTACATCACACTAAACTTCATCCTTATATCTACCAACTACCTCGAAAAGACCAAGGAAATCTAAAAACAAGTAAGTGAGCTTATAGAAAAGGGATATGTGCGAGAAAGCATAAGTCCATGTGAAGTTCCTCTTTTGCTAGTGCCTAAAAAGGATGGAGCTCGGAGAATATGTGTTGATTGCAGAGTCATCAACAAAATCATGGTAAAGAATAGACATCTTATTCCTAGGCTAGATGATATGTTGGATGAATTACATGGTTCTTTTGTGTTTTCAAAAATTGATTTAAAATATGGATATCATCAAATAAAAATGCGTGCCGGTGATGAATGAAAAACCGCTTTCAAAACTAAATATGGTTTATATGAATGGTTGGTGATACCTTTTGGCTTAACTAATACACCGAGCACTTTCATGAGATTGATGAACCATGTTTTGTGTGCTTATAATGGAAAATTTGTAGTGATTTATTTTGATGATATACTTATGTATGATAAAAGTTTAGATGAGCATGTAACACATTTAAAAGCTGTTTGATGTGCTTAGAAAAGAAAAGTTATATGCTAATCTAAAGAATTACACTTTTTATACTAATGAAATTACTGGGATATGTTGTTAATGATAAAGGAATACATCTTAATCAAGAAAAAGTGAAAGTAATTCAAAACACACTAGTATCAGTGATGTTAGAAGTTTTCATGGCCTTGCTAGCTTTTATAGAAGATTCATTAAGGATTTTTCTACAACTGAATACATAAAAAAGAATATGGGATTTCGGTGGGTAAAGAACAAGATGATGCTTTTAACTTGCTTAAAGATAAATTCAGTTCAGCAGCTTTGCTTGCTTTACCCAACTTTGCTAAAACTTTTGAGATTGAGTGTGATGCGAGTGGAATAGGTATTGGAGAAGTCTTAATGCAAGAAGGCAGACCCATTACGTTCTTTAGTGAGAAGCTAAGTGGAGCAAGTCTTACCTACCCGATATATGACAAAGAGTTTTACGGTTTGGTAAGAGTGTTAGAGACATGGTAGCATTATCTTTGGTACAAGAAATTCATTATACACGCCGATCGTGAGTCCTTAAAATATCTCAAAGGACAAGGAAAGCTAACTTGTAGGCTTAGCAAAATGGGTAGAGTTTATTGAATCCTTTACATACATCATCAAGTACAAATAAGGTAAGGAAAATGTGATTGCCAATGCTTTCTAGAAGGTATGTCTAATTTCTAAACTTGATGCAAAATTATTGGGTTTTGAGTATATTAAAGATTTATACAATTCTTACTATGATTTTGCTAATGTTTATAGGATGTGTGAGAAAGGGGATTTTGATAAGTTCTTGAGGCATGATAGTTTTCTTTTTAAAGAAAACAAGTTGTGTGTTCCTCAATGTTCAATGAGAGAATTACTTGTGAGAGAGGCACATAGTGGAGGTTTAATAGGGCACTTTGGGGTTAGAAAAACTTTAGATGTGTTACGTGATCATTTCTTTTGGCCATACATAAAAAGAGATATTGAGAGATTGTGTGAGAAATGCATTACTTGTAAATAAGCTAAATATACATACTCCTCTTCCTATACCTCATGAGCATTGGGGTGATATATCCATGGACTTTGTCTTGGGTTTACCTTGGTCAAAAGGAGGGAGATATTCTATTTTTGTTGCTGTTGACAAGTTTAGAAAAATGGTACATTTCATTCCTTTCCACAAAACAGATGATGCAACACATGTTGTAGGGCTATTCTTCAAAGAAATTATGAGATTACATGACATTCCAAGGACAATTATGAGTGATAGAGATGTGAAGTTCCTTAGCCACTTTTGGAAAACAATTTCAAGCTAGTTGGGTACAAAGTTATTGTATTCAACCACTTGTCATCCATAAATAGATGGACAAGCGGAGGTGGTAAATTGAACGTTAACAATACTTTTTGCCACATATGGAGTTTGTTTATAATAGAGTGTGCATGCTACAACAAACTATTCCTCATTTGAAGTTGTGTATGGGTTCAATCCATTAACTCTTTGGATGGTAAGCAAAAAGTCGATTTTGTCAAAGTATTACATGAAAGAGTTCGGACACAAATTGAAAAGAAAACTCTACAATATGAGAAACAACACAACAAAAGTCGAAAGCAAGTATTATTTGAACCTGGTGATTGGGTTTGGGTACACATGAGGAAGGAAATATTTCTTAGCCAAAGTCTAAATTAATGCCAAGAGGAGATGATCCATTTCAAGTCATTCAAAGAATCAATGACAATACATACAAACTGAAACTACCAATTGAGTATGACAAGGTTAATGTAACCTTCAATATTTCTGATTTATTTTTATTTAATGTAGGTGAAGAAGATGCTGATTTGAGAACGAATCTTGTCAAGGAAAGGAGGAATGATATGAACCAACAAGTTGATCACAATTTTGCCAAGGACCTTTTACTATTCATAGAGGACTAATGACAAGAGCTAAAGTTAAAAGGATGAAAGAAGCCTTAACTTGTTTATTGGAAGACATTTGGAAGGAGCAAGCTAGTCAAGACTCGATCAAGGTTCTATGGATACAAAAAGAGCTTAAAATTGTCAATATAATTCAAATAAGTCCAAATCATGAAGAGAAAGTTTAGCCTTGAGAGAATAACAAATTTTAGTCCATTTTGAAAAATAAAGACCATTCAGCCATGTTGCTACATTAGGAATTATGGGCTTATTTTATTTTAGTTTGGGTTTTATTTTGTTAAAATGAAAGATCATGTGTCTTTTGATTAGTTATAGGGAATTTCAAGGCAGACTTATAAATGGTCAATATTCATGAATTGGGAATATGAATGTCATTTAATGCATTTAATGGGTTCATTCCCTTTGAACTTGGCCTTTGTCTTATATAAACAAGGTTGACTCCCTTTGTGAAGAGATAATTTTCCAGAAATATAATCATCTTTCAACACTTGTGAGTGTTTTGTTTTTATGTTCTTGCATGAACTTTGAAACTTACCAAGCTTTTTTGCTTGTGGCATTCAAAACCCAAAAATCTTTGTTTTCTTTTCAACTTATCAGACTTCTTAGTTTGTGATATTTTAAGGGAATCAAAATGCTGTTCTAATCATTTTATTAATTTTCCATTGATAAAGTGATTAGAATAGTTTCTCTTACTTTAATCTTGAATGATCTGTTTTGTTTCAATTCGTTGGAGGGCGACAATTTATATTCCATATATATCATAGCTATTTAGCTATTGAGGTGTATGGTTGCTAAGTTGATGATTTCCATCATAACTTGGATGCCTCGAGACACTTAGGCTTAATAACATTTGATAGAAGATTCTCATTCGATAAAAGAATGCCTTAACAAAGACACTTCCTTAGCAACATGGATGAGCTTACTAGTTACTACTTACATGATAGACCTCTCTGGTATATATTATTTGCTGATGATATCGTCTTAATTGATGAAAGCTTAAGTTGAATTAATTATAAACTTGAGCTATAGAGGCAATCCTTAGAAACCAAAAGTTTTAGATATAATTCTAAAAATATATGAGATATAATTTTGGTAATTCTAGGAATAGAAATGAGAATATAGTTAAGTTGAATAAGAATTTCCTTTAAGTAAAAGCTTTAGATATCTTGAATTAATTATTCAACAAGATAGAAAGATCGATAAAGATATTGTTCATAGAGTAAAAACAAAATGATTAAAATGATGAGGGGCATTATCTTGTGTGATCATCAGATATATTTGAGATTAAAAGAAAAATTTTATAAGATAGTTATGACACTAACGATGCTTTATGGCCCTTAGTGTTTGACAGTTAAGAAACAACATATATAGAAAATTTATACTACCGAGATGAGAATATTAAGATGGATATGTAGATTTACTAAGAAAAATAAAAAAAGAAATACTTTTATCTGTGAACAACTAAGTATCGCTTCGATAAAGGATAAGATGAGAAAATTTTGTTTAAGATGATATAAGCATATGTTTAGAAAACCTCCGGATACGATAATCAAAAGAGATAAAATGATTAGTGTTAGCGGTACAATAAGAGGTAGAGGAAAACCTAGAAAGACATATTAATACTTACAAATATGTCTCTAAACCTAAAAACTATAAATAACAATTTAAGTACTCTGAACCTAATTAAACATATTAATACTCAATTTAAGTACTTATAAATCTCAATAGCGATAAAAAGATCCATATAGCCGAACCCAAAATAGCTAGGCTTACGACCTTATTATTCTCATTGGTTACTTGCATAAAATAATTGAATACAAAGTGGAAAAAAAAAAACTAATCAGCAGCAATACCAAGCCCTAATACAATTTTGAACTAAAAAATTTTCAACATCACACTTACCATTGTTGGAAAAGAGACTACAAAAGGGTCTAACTTGGACTGTCGACACGAGCTTTCAATCAGGTTGCTATATCCACTCAATGTTTAAGAGTATCACTTCCAACTGCACCAATCTGCAGAAATGGTTTATAAGAGTTGGCTTGATATTTTTCCAAAAGCATCATAGTATTAGTAGTTATTTCATTATGATATAAAACAGTGGCAATCAGAATATCACAATAAGTTTGGGATAAAAGGTTACAGCACATAGCTACCATAGTAGTTGACTGAAAAGAGTGGATCTGAAATATTATGAATCACCTACTGGAGATATGATATGTAACAGGAAGTTCTTTTAGTTGCATGATCTAAAAGAAACAAAGATATCACATCTTAATTGAGAAAAGGAATCTAAATCTACACGAGTTGAGTTAAACGGTTGAATAAGTTCTCTTTAGTGACATGAGAGGCCCTAAATCAAATCATTCATGCTAAAGATTATAACTACAAGATACTGTGATTAAAATTTTAGGCTCCCAATGCTCATAAGTACCTCGAAAGTTCCAGTTTCCCCATCCCCAAAAGTTGATAACCACGGTTAAGCTTTCAGATATACAACTATACAAATCATACTCAATCCATATATCTTCAAAAATGAGAAGTATCATAATATATTACAATCATGCGCATTAGGTAATGCCCAGTATCATAATATATTACAATCAACATGCAATGCATCTTCAACTGCATGCTGCCAGAAGTCGGGTCAAATACCATAACAAAAATATCCCAGCACCTTATTTTGACTGCTATTGGATGAAAGGTAAGAGGGAAGAAACCTTGCAAAGTAGCTCATTTAATGTGTTAATTTAATGGATAGCTCATACAAACTAATGATGCAATCATTACAAGCCATACATAGGTATGAGTGCTTTTCTTTGCTAAAAGAAAAAAAGAAAAGCACCTATCATTCTTTCCAAATTGCACACAGGCTAAGTGTATCGTTCATCACATTTCAGACAAAATGCATTTTGTAGGTTGGACGTGTATGACTGTGTGTCCAAACTTTTCCAATGGTCACCTGCATAATTCTACTCAGCTGTCTCACAGGACTAAAGGAATCAACTACTTGTCAAAAATGTCATTTTTGGAATATCAAGGATTTGTTGTAGCATTCCAATCCGGAAACACTATAATGAAGAGCAATGTGCTTCTTAGCATGTCCATCCAACGAATGTAGACGATTCTAAAACCTTTAAAGGTCACTTAGATGCCCCCTAAAAATCTTTGTATCACAAAGGATATGATTAAACATAAATCTTCTTTCCTCGAACATTTCTTTTATAAGCACAGTTGTTCATGCACCACTTGATGATCTACTCTAAGCTTAGTGCGAAATTGTTTGAGAATCTAACTAATCATCCTCCAAGACAACTAAAACCCTCCAGCTCGTAAATCCACATCGACCGAACCATCGGAATCTATACACTACACCGACGAATATCCTAAATCAACCTTTATCAATAAAAGCAAACCAAGTCGGATTCAAAAGACAAACAAAAGGTATCATCTTTAAGTCCTATACACCCAAGTCCAGATCTTGCAAGAAGACCAAAGACAAACAATTGAAACAAATGCTAAGCCCACAAAACCCAAACGACTACAAAATCAACAATAATAACACGAGGAATCGATTCGTTGAAAGAAGCGACGAAAGCATCGAGAGAATGGAACCCTCACCCATGGGGGCTTGAGATCCTTAGGGGAAGAATCAAAGAATGAAAGATTGATGTTAGAATCCCTTTATTTTCTGAGTTTTTGAATAATGTTTTATTGAGTTTGTTTAGTTCAGTAAGAGTCAGATAGAAGTTTATTTAATATTTATTTATTATTAAGAGTCCAAGTCCTGATGAACTCTAGGTGGAACTCTATAAATAGAGATGTATCTATTTGTTTTCATCAAGCAATGAAATATTATTCAGTCTTTTGACAAACCCTAGGAGGTCGATCCCTTTGAAGTGATCATCCCCTTTTCTCCCATTTCTTCTATGATAAAACCCTAGGGTCTTATCAATTGATGATGCAAGTTGGGATGTTGACCACTTCCTATGGCAACATCATCGCTAACCGGAGAGTGTTTTGCCATTTGGATGGAATGTTTTTAGTGACGTCACTGTCCTTATTTTGATCGCATAACTCTTCCTAGAATTGGAGGCCTATGTGATAATTTACGAATAGGAAATGATTATATTCGTCATGAAGCTGGAGTCCACTTGACTATTACCGCAAGTGAGTTGAGTCAATCCATTCGAATGAACCGGATTAGACGAGACACATGTTTAATTTTTATTTGTTTTTTGTTTTTGTCCAAAGAGGAACCACATAGAGAATGGCTTTTGTGTGGTCTTCTGTCCATATAAGAATCAATAAAAATAAAATATTGAGAAGGCAAAGATTGTAAGCACAAATGGACGTGTGGTTTTTATTGGTTATACATTTCTTCTCTTATTTTTCTTTTCCTTTTTATTTTTGTTTTTCTTGATAATAATTGGACATGTGGTTTTTATAAACCCTCCTTGCCCTCTTCAGAGCAAATATACGAAGTCAATGAACCATCATCAACCATCACATTTGATCTAAACCTCATACTGACTTGAAACTTGCATCCCTTTTTCCTTTTTTTTTTTTGGTGGAAGCATGCAGAAGCCCAGGCTATCACGTGCAGATCGTACACGAAATATTCAGCACTGGTCAGCTCCCTAACACTCTTGCGTTAGGATGACTAAACCATTGAATCTTCAGTTCATATAACAGCAATGCATCGGTTTTATCTACTCTGAGCAAATAATGGTAGAACAATGCAAAAAAGGGCAGCAATCCATACCCCTATGTAACATGAGGTTCAACCCGACGCAACATGTTCATCATGGCCTAGTTAACTTCCAAAAATACACCATTGAGTATCTAAAGCAATTTCCAGGGAGAAAGTATCAAATATTGATCCAACGGAAAGAGAAACTACACAAGTTTAAGCATGTATGATGAGTTCATCGTTTGCACCTGTCTGAGACGAAGGAGTGGCAAGATCTTTCGTGTTCTTGGGTGCATGGCGTTGATGGATCAAGTGCAAACAGAGAAATGACATGTTAATTACCAAAATAACAAAGAAAATCAATTTATGACATAATAGACTATATATATATTAAAAGGGTAGAGAAAAGGTGTCGCCCACCCTCGAATGCAGATGATGAAGAGAAGCTTGGCTTTAGGGCTACAGTCGTCCCCACCCTTCATCCTGGCCTCTCTCTTCAAACGAATCAGCTGTTTTTCCTACCAAAAATGGGAACTCCAAACGAGATAAAAATCGAATTTTTAACAATACGAACGAAATAGAACGATCACACCGACAGTGCAGTGGTCAGTAATAAGCACCTGGGATTCGTTACTCCTTAGCATACTGCTTGGCTCTACTGAAGATTAGTTTTCGGTTCTCCCTGGCCTTCTTCTTCTTGGCGTCGAGGTCCTGTTTCTTCACCAGAGCCCACTGCTCCTCCCTCTTCCTCTTCTTCAGAGCCGACTCCGGGATCACCGCCTTCGCCTCCGCAGTCGCCATCTCCCTCCCACTAGGAAAGACATACATCAAGACCCCAAATTGAGATCATAGGAATTACGTTCGGTACCTTTTCCGAGTCGGCGACTGGATTCACGATCGAGAAGGCTTCAAGATCATGCCGACCGCTCGATCGAGTGACTGATGTGGCTTGGTATGAACGAATGAACCCAATAATTTCACTGATGGGTCGAGCCTCATGTTTCTGTTATGAAAAACGATACCACCGAACGCAAAAACAACATACAACTGAAAACACATTTGGTACTTTCTATTCTTGTTTCCGTAAAATCAACAAAACAAATCTTGCGATTGCGACTTGCACGAGTGTAAACTCGAAAACTACTGTGCCGTCACGCTCCGCGACGTCACATAGCACACGATGAGTGAGACAACGACAGTTGGATCCCGTTCTAATCGGGTTAGTTTGGCATCGTCGTGTCGCAAGTCTTGACTTGAAACGACACTGATGCACGTCTCTATTGACTTGGTTCAACTCACTCCAGGTTTTAGCTCTCTCTCCGTCTCATCTTAGCCCAGACTTCTTGCTGACGATTCCCGGGAAAGAGACAAAGCGATTGAATTATTGCTAGCAGACAAACACGGGAAAGTACGGTGGTATATTACCGTCAGCACGGATCTTGGTAACACGAATCTAAAGGCAACATCTGAGCCACGCTCCATGCCGGCAGGTCAATTGGCGCAGTAAACCGTGATTCTCACCGCATGGAGTGTTGTGAGTCACGAGGATGACGTGGACAGACGAAGGTCAGATGAAAAGGCAAATTACCGCCTCCGTTCCACGTGATACAACTTGCGGTCCGATGTTTAAGGTGCCAACATTCCCAACATCTCAAGTCCATTGTATCTTACTTTATGGAAGTGCAGAAACTAACATTAGGAATATTTGAGGGATACATATGTAATATTAGAATTTGAAGGGGTTAAATGCGTCATTTGATCGAATGTTGCTCGAGGTTGGTAATGGGCATCAAAGTGAGAAATTACCTGGAAACTTCCAAATCGTCTTCTCGGCGAAAAAAGAGCAAAGAATCCATGGATATGGGGTATAAGTTGGCGGAGGAGGCGAAGCTACGAGGAAAGCTCCTCCGCTTCTCTGCTTGGGGTTTCCCCTGCCGAACGTTTCCCTCCCCCAGAAAAGGTAAGCGCCGAGCCCCCAAACGTCTCTTGGCTTGTCGATGGCGGCAGGGCATCTCCTTTGGGAGCCCTTTTCTTCCGATCTCGATCGGTTTGCAACCGTCAAGGGCCGCTGATGCTCATTGGACGCCCCAGGTCCCGCGGACTGGGTGTCATCTTTCCTGCGACAGCATGGCCCAATCGTCGGGGAAGTCGTCACCCAGCGGGCGGTGGGACGAGGAGTGTGGCGGCGGTCGTGGTAGCGAAGACATCTGCGGTCCCTTCGACATACCTCCCAAGAATGCGCCGGTGGAGTGCCTCAGGCGGTGGAGGGTATGCTTTTTGATTCTTGAACCCTGGGGTTGTTGGACCTCCAGGGTTTTGTGTGGTTAGCATTCTTGTCGCTTCACTAAACGTCGATGGAGGATATCCGTTTTGAATCCTGAATCATGGAGTAGTTATAACCGGAGTCTTATTCTATACTGAGAGACGACTTCTTTTCTGATCTTGGATGTTGAATTGATGCCAGGATAGTTATTTTTTCTTTCTTGATGTATGGTTGAATATCAATTAAGGAATAGGGCTTAAATTCGTAGGGAAGGATTGAGTGGAATAATTGGGTACCAGGTAGATGTTGGAGGGGACAATTCCCGAACAAAAGATTTTCGTTTTGCATTATTTACTGGGAGTTAGCTACTGATGTAAAACAATGAAGAGGATTTGATTTTCCAAAAGATGTATGCATTGTGTCTTGGAAAAAGCCTTTTCTGGAGTTGTTTCAATATTACAAAGGTTCAGAATGTTCAGACAAAGCACAAAAAGTTGACAAACTTTACTGGTCATGTGAACTAAATACTCCAACTGAACAAAGAAATCATTTCTTTAAGAACCTTTTGTCTTCGGACTTGACCTTTTTCTCCTTAATAAAATAGTTGATATGCTTAGATAAGTGTCTCATAGGAGACACTTGTCCATTGTATTTTACATTAGCACTATGTTTTGTTTCTTGGAAAAGCCTTTTCTGGAGGAATTTCACTATTACAAAGGTTGTTCGGAATGTTCAGACAAAGAACAAAAAGTTGACAAACTTTACTGGTCATGTGAACTAAATACTCCAACTTAAGAAAGAAATCATTCCTTTAAGATCCATTGTTCTTCTGCCTTGAGCTTTTTCTCCTTAACAAAATAGTTGATATTGCTTACATATGTGTCTAACAAGAGACACATGTCCACTGTATTTAACAAGGATTGCTATTTCGGGTATCAGACCCGTTTCGGTGATCTAATCGGACCGGTACATACTGGTTGGTTTCAGTGTACCATTGTCAGTACATCAGTATGTATGGATGTTTTGGAGAGGAAGAAAAAGAGGGAGAAGTGGAAGGGACGATGTAGGAACAAGATTAGGAAGAAGAGGAAGAAGGAGAGGCAGCGGAGGAAGAAGGAAGAAGAAGAAGGGGAAGCGGTGGAGGAGGAAGGAAGAAGACTGAGCAGTAGAGGAGGAAGAAGCCAGGGCGGTGGAGGAGAAGGAAGAAGGGGAAATAGTGGAGGAGGAGGAAGATGGAGCGATGGAGAAAGGAGTGGAGGAGGAGGAGAAGGAAGAAGGAAGAAGAGGAGGAGAAGAGGAGGGCATGTACTGGAGAGACAAATAGGCTGATGACATCCAATAGCGACAGTGGCAACGGAAATGATAATCGTCGAAGCAGCAACAACACATCGTAAGAAATGGGTTGCAAGTTCTAATTAGGGTTGGTGTCACATGCAATTTTAGGGTTTATTCTTTTTATATATGATTTGGAATTGGCCGCTTGAAATGCGAGTGGTCCGCCTACCAGTACATACTACCTTGGGTTTTAATATAGCACAACAAACTTATCAGTAATCACCCACCTGTTTTATCAAGATAACTTATGATAGATTTAAAAACATATACTGCCAAATTAAACCAAGGATGAGCCAGTAGGGTCTCTAACACTATAAATTGTTTGTCCTGATCTAACCTGATGAGATAATTGAGCTAAAATGATTAATCCCAAATTAGTAGTATTATACCATCAGGTCATTATAGGTCAGTCTAAATCCTTGCTCACTTCTGATGTGGGGCTAAACTGGGCTTTACATTGTTATTTGAATTCAGTAGTAGGTGAAGGGAGTGTTGAAAAAGGCTTACAATTGGCCACTTCAGAGCTCAAAGTTTACAATTGCTTTTTAATTTTAAAACTTTGAGATACATTACAAGCCAAAACGTTTTATGAGAAGAATTCTAATATGCCTAAATCTTCTAGGAAGATATAAGTGCATGTAACATGAGACTATAAATGTAAGAGCTGACTTTGGAAGATGAGATTTTATACTTATCATCTATTTTAAATCTTAAGAAAATAAAAACATTATATATAAGTATCTTGGACTAAAGAATCAGCGATATTCCCAAACATGTTTAAGACTTTTGAGTTAAGCATGTGTCAATGAGATAGAGCATAATCATCTATAGGATAATCACCATAGTTTTATGGACAAGCTAATGTTTATGAAGTTGTTCTGCAGCATTTGGAGACGAGATAAGCTTGACCAAAAGGCTGAAAATGGTGGCAAATATAAGCTCAGTCTGTTCTCTTTTTGGATTGTAAAGGAATACTAGTTTAGGTTTTCTTTCAATATTAAAGTATGCAATTTTCAACTTCCTTTCATCCTTGGTAATTTTGTGTCCTGCATCTTCATAAACTTAGTACTACAAAGTTATTCTGCCTCGCTAAATGCGGGGACATTTAGGGACAGGAGAGGGTATATCATCAGCCATGTCTTTGATAGGTGTATTGGTGTATCTCCTGCAGTTTCGTGAACTTGGTACTAAGAAAATCAGGCTGCCTCAATGCAAATCTGGCTGCCAAAATGCCATTTTTCCCTCTGTGTCTGGAATGGGATTCCCATTATATTCATTTGCATGTTTTTTAGGACTAGTCCTTTGATTAAATTTCAAAGATAGCAAGCTCAATTAAAGACTATCTAGTTTTCAAGGACACTAAACACATTTAGGTATGAGCAGCCTTTCATAGAACTTTATTTCTTGAGGTATAGAGAATCTGAAATTTCTGATCAATGTGGGCTGGGATCCTCTTCTATACTGGAATCTAGTGCTGGGTGAATAGAAGCCACAAATAATTAAGGCCTTTTCTTATGATATGCTATATTATCTTGTCTCTAAGAAACACATTCAACATGCTATTAAAATCCTTCAACAATCTGTTGCTTGAGTTTACTTATTTTGCAGGTATCTTTGGGGATTCTAAGGTTTTTGTTAGATCTAAATTTGAAACAAACTGATGCAAAACCGATGTTGATCTACATCTATAGATGACAATGTGCACAATGACAAATGGATTTGGCTTTGCTAACAAATTGTATTAAATATTGTGTTGGCATGTTTTGACTATCAACATACACAAGACATTCTCAGTCACAGTTTGAGTGCTATGAAGAAATCAGATACCTGTATCTTCCTCTCCTTTAACACTCTCTTCTTTGCTATTTAAATATGTTCCACTGGTACTTTGGCTGGTGCACTTTGCAGTTCATTTGTGTAAGCAATATTAATGTGCAAAGGGTGCAAGTCTGCAAGATCAAAGTCAACTTTGAGATGCGGGCAGTCGAACCACAGTTTTTTTTTTGTAGTTGTTTAATCTTTTCATTTCAGTGGTGGACAGGAAAACATTGATTCCAAAGTTTTTAGCAGGGGGAAATATTATCATGGAATTTGGGATTCTAGCTCTTAAGAGATTAGAGGAGTAGCTATCTTTTATCCTCCTCTCTCTATGGGCAATAAAAGAAAGAGTTAAAGAGGTCTCAGTTGCCTTGACCAATCACTGCAGACCAATAATTTGCTGTCTATCTCAGCATTGCAACATTGTTTGTTACAATTAGAAGTTGAATGTAGAATGCCCTAGAACTAAGAGACGGTAGTCATTCTTTCTAATATGAAAATGACGAAGCTAATAGAAAGTACATCATATATATTCAAACCATTAAATTATTACTTGGGTTCTCATTTTGCCCCTTATGAATTTTGTGTGATCCAAAAGTTGGCCATTTAGGATTCAGGTTGAGTTGTGAGTTATCGTTGCTCATTGACAGCATCGTGATAAAACATGACAAAACATATTTCCAAATTATCTTCTATATTATGGTATCGTTGAGAGATCATGACAAAACATCAAATTATCTTCTATGTTATATTTCCAAAATTTGTGATGGATTAGTGTTCTTGGATGTCAAATAACTATATTAATATGTTTTACCATTTTTTATCTTGATAAAGCCAGATGATAGGTTCATTTCTTTTTAGATCATGGATTGATGTTCTCATAAGCCATAACTTCAATGAGCAATACATAAATACTTGTTGATTCACTAGTTGAAGAGGTTCGTCATGAGTCTCCTCTACTTATATTCCCTATCTTATACATGTAAACATGCTGGAAGAGATCCAACTATTTTTGTACTTACCTTAGGATGAGCACATGGTTGAAGTAAGAGGGGTGGGAGAAAAGAAAGAACTGAATAGGATTTTTTTTGTAATTTTTATTTAGTTAGATAATGAACAAATATGCTTTCTTAGACTTGTTTGAATGATACTGGAAATACTTTAAGATCTAGAGGAGAAAATAAAGCTAATACAAGTATGCAATCATCCTTCCAGTATTAGGTGGTTGATCTTGCAGGTTTCATCAATTATAATTTTTAGGATTAAGAGTTGATAGAACCTCTGGGATATGAATCAATTGGTAGTCAGCTTGTATTGCTTTTAAAATAATATAGGTTTTGTTTGTTGTTCAGCAGAGTCATTTGCATCATTATGTTCTCAAAGCATAATGACAACAATTCTTATGTTGCTTAGAACATAAAAATCATAAAAACCTATAAAGTCACATGCTTATTTTGTTTATTCCGGCCTAACCTTGACTGTCATGCATTGTCAATTCTTGTCACTGACTCACTCTTTGGTTGTGTGCATATGTGGCAGGGTATATTCCTCAATAGATATTAAGACCATGGTGTTTAATACACCGGACAAAAGCTTTCTGTGTTGCTAATTCTTTTCAGTTAATGTTTTGTCTTCTCTTTTGTGGATATTTTTAAAAACACTAGTTGGCACATGCTAGATATTCTAAATCCAACAGTGCAAAGAATGTTGGCAGCATTCTTTTATCCACTAAGTGGGATAAGGCCTTATAGTTGTGCATTTTTTTACATCATTAGGGGAGCATGTGTCATTTCAGATTCTTTCCCTTGTGTCTATTTTTGACATTATAGTATCATTACCATGTTGAAGTTTTCTTATTATAACTTCTGCTTAAACAACTGTTTTCTTGATTGTGTTCAGCAAGCAGCTCTTGTGCTAAATGCTTCTCGTAGGTTTAGATATACCTTGGATTTGAGGAAGGAGGAAGAAAAGGAGCAAGTAAGGAGGAAGATCCGAGCGCATGCTCAAGTGATAAGGGTATAATTTTTGGTATAAAAGGTGCAACTTTTAGGTACCTCAAAATTTCCAGTCTGCTTATAAATTTGAACTTTTTCAGGCAGCATTCCTTTTTAAAGAGGCAGGGGAGAAGGAGAAACCAGGTTTTTGATATGTTTTTGTTTTGCAAATCACTTCAGTCTTGGTTTCATATTTTCTACTATATTTTAAGTTCTACTGTGGTATGTCACCATTAATTTTAAACAATATGCATGACATCCTATGTGCGTATTTTTGCTCAAACAATTTGACACAGGAATTCCTGGAGTCCCAACACTTCCAGCTATTGGTTTTGGAATTGGACAAGAAGTTCTTACTAAAATAACCAGGGAACATGATTTTTCTGCTCTACAAGGATATGGAGGGGCAAGTAACAAGTTATGTTTCAATATTGTATCTATCCTGCCCATTATTTGAATGCATAATGTACTGCTGATTTAGGTTAAAGGACTATCAAGTTTGTTGAAGACCAATTTGGAAAAAGGAATCAGTGGAGATGAAGCTGAACTATTGCGCAGGAGGAACTACTTTGGGTCCAACACTTACCCTCGGAAAAAAGGAAGAAGTTTTTGGGTATATGCTGAACTCATTCAATATCTCAACTGTTGGAGTCAAAGTGTCCTGTTGTAAAATTCTGTACGACTTGTGCTTTAGGTTTTCCTATGGGAAGCTTGGCAAGACCTAACCCTTATCATCCTTATGATAGCTGCAGCTTTGTCATTGGTGTTAGGCATAAAGACCGAGGTGAGATTGGCCTTGTAATATTTGAAGTTTATTTACTTTTTACTTAGTTCCAATGGTATTCTAAAGCCTAAGACACCACTATTTCCTGCCAATGTTTTGCCTGGTCTTAGGTCTTTTTAATAGTATCCATAAACATGTCTTGGCTCACATAAAACCAGTTTCTGTGTTTTTTAATTTGAAGGAGCACAAAAATTCTTTTTGTACTAATTTTGCTTGGTCATAACTTGTTTTTGTGCAACATGTCATATCCTAGCAAATTGCAACAGTTTATTCCTTGCACAAGAGATGAAGTTGCTTATGCAAACAATTAACACATAGGTCTTTTGGTGAGAATTATATAATGCATGCTATGCCACATGTAGAGGACGGGCCATGATACAATGGTTAGGTTACTCCCTTGTGACCTGGGAGAGTTTGAATCACGGAAATAATCTTTTTAAATATTTAAGGTAAGACTGCATATATTGACCCTATCAGATCTAGACCCCGCATTTTTGTTGTGCCACATGTCATATGAGAGCAATGTGTTCCATCTGCTGCATCCAAAAACTTCGAAAATACTTTTGTTAGGTTGATATCGACAATCTAAATGGCTCATTGCAGTAATCACTTGCAGCAGCCATTTTAGGTTGGTGTGTAACAAATGCTATGATCAGCCAACTTTTGGTACTCAGCTGCTGCTAATATGGCCATAATGACCACTCTAAGCCCAAAATTTACAAAATGTACTCAGTTTGATGCATGATACGTTGTAAAAAATTACAACAAGTACACTATGTGACACACGACAAATTTTTTAAATATCCTAGTTATATGTCTTGAGTCTACTTTAGATTTATCTACAGTCTAATTTTTGTTTACATTTTGAGTTATGGAGTGATTTTCATCAGTATTTTAGGTGATCTTTAAAGGGTGTTGATATGTTGGGTTTGGGAGGTCTTAGGAATCAGTCTTGTTGGTTATTTGAACTCAAGACGTTTTCTGTAGATTTTTTTTTTCCTGTATCTGAACTTATAAAGACCAGAGAGCTCCTGTAGCCAACTCATTAGAGTTTGCCCTCTAGGTAGTAGAGAATCTAGAGATATTTAGAATTGAAAAGTTATGATTTGGTCCTAGGTCTCAAATGTCAATCAAATCAATTGGCATGGACCACTAATTATCTGTTCGACCAGATGCTGGTATTGAAAGATATTGCTCAATACCATACAATATGTCATATATTATTTTTTGTTATTTTATTTAATGATACTAGGTGGTCTAATTCAGTATACCACTCATTTACTGGTACTGCACCAGTCCTACTTACTGTAGTGGTTCTGTAGTTTGTTCCAACAGAGGCTTGTTGGGTAGTTTGTTTCTCCCTAGGCTTGTTGTGCACTAAACCTCTCTCTGGCATCTCTTTGCACATCCCTCTTTCTTGCTTTCTTCTTTTTCTTCTTTTTTTCTTTCCTTCTTTCCTTTTTTCTGCTTTCCCGAAAGAAAACAGCAGAAGATTCTCTTATTTTCTGCCTCTTCTGGTTCTCTATCTGCTAGAAGCCATGGGAAGCAGCTGAAGGTGCTCTCTTGATCATCATAAGGGCATTTGTTTAGAGATTTAGTTCAGAGCTGACACAGATATGATCTCTCTTGTTCCTATGTCAGTTCTTCAATAACAACATGCTGGAAGAAACAAATTTGCAGCAAAAACTTTCTACTTCCGTCAACTTAGCTCTATATTGAGCAATGGTTGAGCTATCCTATATCTTTTAGATATTGTACTCCCAACAAGTTGATTTTACCATCGATGTGTGTACAACGACTATCGGTCCTTTTTCTACATAAACTGGTGTTAGAGCTAAATCTGGGAGCTGATGATATTTGTAGATCGATTCTATTTTTCAGTGGTGGGAATGTCGGTCCAGTCTCATTGAAGGACTTACAGGATTGACAATTATGCCGTGAAATATGTGTTGGAAGAATCAAGATGGTGATTGGAACATCCAGATAATGGTCATGAACTCTAGGAGCCTTTACCATGGGTTTTCTATTAGACTTTGAAAGAATCCAAAAATGCAAGGACCAAAGTTGTAGAATGCCTGAAAGATGATGACAATGACAAACAGTGATCTTAATGCAACTGTCTATTTTTATCAATTTACTTTTGAGAAGCCAATAAACAACAGTAAGTATTATTTCTTTCTTGATCATCCCAGGATATAGATAAGGGAATATCTAATGATCTACACCTGAGGGTGGATTAGTCAATTTGCAAATGAGGGTTTGGTGATTTATTTATTTGTACTTGGTGCAAGCATCAAACTTCACCATTAGATCATTTGTGATGACAGCTTGATCATTTGTTAATCATTTCAGTGGACACAATTGGAGACTTGGAGTAAGACAAATTGTTGTAGTTTTTTTTTGTTTTTTGTTTTTTTAAAAGAAAACTGTTTGATTAGCCTTGAGCCATATTGGCCCTGAAAAAGTGTCCGTTTACAAAAGAGTCAGCATCATTAACTCCCAAGATAAGAGTTGATCTTTGAGTTCTACCTGAATTAGCAAAGTTTGTGCGGCAAAATGATTGCATTTCTATTGACAAAACAAAACTGTGTCACATTGAGTTGTCTGGCCAACTCCAAAATATCTGCTACTAGTGACCTAAAGCTCCATGGGACCACCCCACTCATCCTATTTAACTAATTTATCACTTCCAAAGCATCAGATTGCACCAATAAGTTCTGAAGGCATTCCTACTTGGCACGCTTTAAAGCTTCAAGAATGGCCATGCATTCAGCTTCTTTTATGTTGGTTCCTTCACTCGCTGTTTCTAATAATGTATCCTATACCTGCAAGAAAAGACGGTGAAATGAAACATCAGATTCAATCTTGTAATCTTTCATATCCAGATTCACAGGTTTGGGGTTTTTGCTTCCCCCAAAATTCCCCTCAGGTCTATATTGGTTTAGAAAGAAATCATTAGTGATTGCGGCCACCTTACACCACAAGGAGAAAGGCTTGTTTTGAGGGTAACAAATGTTGAAATCGTTACGATTAAGCCAAAGATACCTAAGTGAATTCTCAATAAGACTCCCTACTAGAATAAACTACAAATTGTTGTAGTTCTAAGCTAGGTTTATAACTTCGGTCTGTACCGGTGTACCGACCAATGGTCAATATAGTATGTACAGAGGCGTATTGACAATATGGCCAAAAAAATAAAAAATAGCTCCAAAAATGTCTAAAAATAGAAAAAAATTAGATTAGGTTTCTTAAGTTGGAAATAAATATAAATTTAGTTAAATTTTAGCAAAAATAATTTAAATTAGGAAAGAATAATGACACATCCTTTTTGGGTTTTGAGGAGTAGCTTTATGGTATGTTCTAAATCATCCTTTCATTAATATTGAATTATCTAATTGTTAGATGTTAGTGAGAATGAGTTTGAGGGATTTGAAGAAATTGAGAGAGTAATATAAGTTGGAAGAGAGGGGAGGAAAGGGCTTAAAAACCCTTTGCTATGGTTCAAACGATCAATTTGACCATTTGAAATAGGGCGATCTTAGCCCTTGATTAGTAATGGTCGAAATCCGATTGTTATCGACTGGTACAGGTCGATAACGGTCGGATTTCGACTGTTACCGCCTAGTGTAGACCCCGTATCAATCCCCTATCAGACGATATGTATCGCCCATACCAAACGGTATAGGTCAATACTGCAAACCTTGATTTTAAGTATGATTCGTCTCATCGGTTTGGACTGGTGTATCGATTGATCGTCAGTACGGTACGTACCAATCCATACCGACACATAGTATGGTGGGGCATATTGATAGACCGATATGTGCTGCTTGTACTAGTCCCTTACTGGGCCGATACATACCACCCATATCATGTGGTATGTTGCGGTACGATGAACCTTGGTTTTAAGTTGTATATGATATATCATTATCTATGACTTTTCTATTTATTGGTTTTTTCAATTCAGTATAATTTTCAGTGGAGTTTAGAGAATCGAGATCCATTGTTTTTCGTTTGTTTTCGGCCAGATAAGAGTCTTATTATGTTTTTTTTATTAGAAGTCAGAATTTTTTAGACAAGAAAGATATGAACCTTTTTTAGCTCTGTTTATTTCCTTTTCTCCATAGGAGTTTTAAAGGACTTCAGTAATTGCTTGTATCAAACAAAGGATATGGCTTTATAGATATTTAAACTATTTGGGATTGGAAAGTCACTACTTTTCCCTTTGTTAGTAACCTTCTTTTCTTGAGTTTCTCCTTCTCCCTTCCTCACCTATTTCTTCTCTCTTTCCTTCAATTTTTACCTTAGAGGGAATGCAACAGAAAATCTATCTTGTTGTTCTCTTTCTCTTCACTCTCTGCTGGAGTTTCACAGACAACAACCAAGCACAATATCCTGTTCAGAAATGCATCCAATAGAACCTATATCTCCATATTCTCTTCCTCTTTTACTTCTTTTTTTTCTGAAAAATCATAGACAACAATGATGTTTCTTATGATCACCCACATATTCAATTTCTTTGTAGTCTTAGATCAGATCTAAGTTGATTGTATGTACACCACTTCTTGAGATCAGTCTTGCTGGAAACAATAAATCTATAGCCAAATTATGATGTTTTCTTTGATATAGCAGTATCTTGAGTGCTTAACAGTGACCAGATGAACTCAGAATTGCCTTGAATCAACTGCAAAGCATCATCTTGCTCTGATTAGTCTACAATGGCTGTGGGGTCATTTTCAATAAATATTCCTGTTAAGTCAAACTAGCAAGGATTGGTACATTTTGGGGATGGGACCTGTGCTGGTCCATAGCTGGACCAGTATGGGTCCAGTTCGTTCCAGCATACTGAGTCTCATTATGCCTGTATATACCTGAGACAGTTGGGAAGGGAGAGGAGGGGAGCAAGAAGGGGAAGAAGGAAGAGGAAGAAGAAGAAAGGAAGAAAAAGAGGGAGAAGGAGGGGGAGGAGCAGGACGAGGTGTATTGACATATGGGTGGCGGCAATAGCATGTGGGCGATGGGCGGCAGTTGGTGGAAGGATCAAGACCCCTCTTATATGAGTTGCATTGCAGCCCTAGGTAGGTAAAAAGAAGAAAAATTGTTATACAACAGACTCAGACTGAACCACTCGGTTGGGCTGACCGGTTGGTGGTTGGATCAGCAAAGACTGGTTGAACTGTATCTAACTGGTCAGTTTTGCAGTTCTTGCAAACAAGTATACTTAACAGTTATTCTCTTATGTTAGTATGGGTTGATCAATAGATATATTATTTCCACATGTTTAACTTGGTTGACACACTTCACAACAGTTATAATCCCAGATCTAGATTCAGTATAAAAGGCGCCTCACCCCATTTGCATCATCTCTTTGACTCTGGATAAACATAAATTTCTGTGTTGGTTATTCTTAAGCTATATAAAGTTGTCAGAATGGAGGTGCCAGGAGAGAGATTGGAAAACTAGGAAACTTGGTTTGAAACTATAAGAGATGGCATGATGAAGGCTTTTATATATAGTGACATTCTTCTTGACAGAGCCAAATTCAGGAAAAAAGGATTTATATAGACAATGCCAAATAGTTGAGCTTTGGGAATTACAAATACTAGTTGTTGTTATATGCTAATTATTCTTCAAGTTGCTTAAACAAGTTTCAGGAGTCTTTGCGATACTCTGCTAATTGCATGTTTGGATTTCCTGGTATATTTTTCCTATTATATGGTGTTGTGTTATTCATCCTGCATTCATTTTATTGTTCTTAAGTAAAAAGGTAGGTATTTATTCCTTCAGGGCATTAAAGAAGGATGGTATGATGGCGGAAGCATTGCCTTTGCTGTTATTATTGTCATACTTGTAACAGGTTTGTGATCTTTCATCTATTCTAATTTACCTTGAATGGTTAACACTAGCAAATGGATTATTGTCCTGTTTGTCTACTTTGTTCATGCCAATTGTAGCTTAGCCACCTCAGGTAAGATGTATAATCTGGACATAATACAAAATTGACAAAGGATTAGGTAATATACACTGACCCTTGGGTACCTCATGCATGTATAGGTTAATTATTTGAGTTTAAGACTACTTCCTTTGTAAGTTTGAACTGCATGGTGTTCCCACTTGTTCTCCTGATGACTTTTTGCTTTCCTTGAAAGTGCATGAAACTGGTATTGTTGGATTGAACATTTTGAACGTTCTTGTGAAGGCAACAATTTACTTGTTTTGATTGAACCAAGTTGCTTATCCAATCGAATTAGACATGAACCTAGACCCATCGTCACTCGGGCACTCGCTCGAGGTGCCTGACGCTGGGCTCAAGCGAGACTGCCTAGCTGCGCTTCGTCGAAATGCCTCGCCCAGAGGTTTTGCAAGGTGCTTGGGCCTCGCTTGAGTGCCTAGGCGAGTGCTGGAGCGCCTTTTGAAAACATTGTTATTGACTGATATGTTGACGTATGTGAGATAACTTGAATTATTTCTTGTAAAAAATCATCATTGTTAGATCATTCGTTCAGAGATTTTAGAATGGGGAAGAATAGCAACTCCATCAGTATTTGAGCAAGTGGAATTTATAATCAAATAGTTTTATTTTGTTAGTGAGAAAGACTTGGACTACCTGTGATTTCATTTTTACTGTCATTGGAACTTGTTAGGAATATGTGATATTGCTTGCGGATTTGTGTTTGAAATCAGAGAGTGCATGGCAATGTGCTGCACAAATTTTAGAGGCTTGCATCAGGAGAGGGGATCAGAGGTTCGTGTTGCGGAAACCAAAATTGGAAAGGCATGCATCAATCAAAAGAGGGCCTCATATGGGGTTCAGGAGGTTATCAATGAAATATGTATGAAGAAATTAGGAAAACATGCCAAGCATCAACTAGTAAATTAAAAATGTTCCCCATCATTGTCGTCATTATTATGGAGTGGTTGCTTGATTTAGCATCTAAACCTGTTGCTAATTTGCAGACAATGCTATCTGTTTAGTAAAATTCAATTTTGCAAAATGGAAACAGTAAGCTTGTTGGACATCTTCTGGAGTAAATAGTAAAGAACCTACGAACCCATGTAGAAAAAGAAATCTTTTTAACTTGGGGCTTTTTGTTAATCTCATTTGGCACATGTTCGTGTTTCAAGGATCATCATTGGTTAAGTTGCAAGCATCTTTTAGGAAATTATTGTTTGGATTAAAAGGTTTTAATCCTATGGCTTGTTGTTGTTGTTGTTGCTGCTGTTGTTGCTGCCATTATTGTTGTATTAATAGGTCCTCATGCATTCTAAGATCAATTGTCAACTAGGTGCAATGCTTTTGTTCCTCTACAATATCAAAGTTAACCATAACACTATGAAAATTTTCTGTCTTATTATGATGTGTTCTTCTTGTTTGAATAGTGTATATACAGGGAACCACTGAACGCCAGAGTACTTGCTGATGTGAAATAGTGGCCTTTGCAATATGATGGGAAGAACATTTAAAAAGAATATTTTTTGAAGAGTTTTGTTCTTTTTAGCTTTGCCTACTTTTGCAGTCCATAGATATGCAACATGCTTATTTAAAACAAAATCAAGTAATCACCATGAAAATTTGTGCAATCGACTTTGACGACATTAACCAGACAGACAAAACAATAGCACATGTTTACGAGGATGAGCTCTCCTTTTCTATTGTTCTGTGTGTCTAATATCATGTGTAGCTGAGACTTCTGAGTACACTATTGAAGTTTTCAGAGAATGGGTTCTAGAAATGATTTGTTATTGCCTTATACAGCACTTTCGCTTCTAATTGCAGCAACTAAGCTTTTAGCTACCTTAAGAAAATTAAATATGTTGCCAAGTTGCTATCTTAGGCTACATGATTCCCTCTCAACATGTGTTTTATGGTTTAAACTTTTAAGTTTATTTGCTTCTCTTCACAAGACCAATTTATTGTCTGAAGCAAGGTTAACATATGCTGGGAGACATATATCAAAGACTCGATGTTCCATTTCATTCTGGTGTTTTGAAAATAAGGATAGTTTTTTATATGCTTGGCATACATTAGTTCTTGTTCATAATGCTTGAGATTTGTGTCTCAATATTTTTCTTTACTGGATTTCTTATCTTATGCTAGCTGTCAGTGATTATAGACAATCACTACAATTCCAAAATTTGAATGAGGAGAAGTCGAACATACATTTGGAGGTGGGTTTCACAGCACTTGAATATTTATTTGGTTTTTTCTTCAATTTTTTGTATTTTATTTTCACGAGCTGTATAATATCCAGGTAATTAGAGGTGGCAGGAGAGTTGAAGTCTCCATTTTTGATCTTGTAGTTGGTGACATTGTTCTCCTCAAGATTGGTGATCTGGTAAGAATGCAGCAATTAATCTTTGCTTCTGGGATTCCATGTATGTTCACTTTTATTGAGATATTCTTAAACTTCTTCTAGGTTCCTGCTGAAGGAATTTTTATAAGTGGTCATTCTCTTGCAATAGATGAGTCAAGCATGACAGGGGAGAGCAAAGTTGTAAGTTCTACCTTCTCTTTTCTTTTTGTTATATGCTTATTCTGTTCTGTTAGAACCCAAAATCCCTTGTTTCATATTCTTTATAGTTAATTCCACAGAAGGATCTAGAGATAGCTCACTATCTTGGGACTTTATATAAGGATCCTTTCTTTTAATTTCTAAACAGATATGTGAACATAAACCATCGACACAGTATCTAGTAAGATATACCTAAATCAAACTTTTTCTTGTCCTCCTAATATGACCTACAAAATAGTTGTCTCATTTGACCATTTAAGCTATTTTATTATGTAACAAATAGTGACATCATAAAATGTTCTACATAAAATTCTGTTGGTTTTAAATAAAATTTCCTCTTGTTATTAGCATGATGGAACTTATGGTGCCTTCTTTCAGGTTCACAAAGATCAGAAGGCACCATTTTTGATGGCTGGGTGCAAGGTTGCTGACGGTTATGGCAATATGTTGGTAAAAGTTTCATATTTAAAGTCCTTTATTTTGTTTGTGAACTTATATTTCTAGTGTATGTTGACTTGTGCTTTTGGGAGAATATTTTTAAAAGAGAGGAGACCGAGTTTGTTTTGGATTGTAAAGCTGTTTATTTTTATGTGTGGTGGCATTCCTTTTGAAACCCCATTTCTTTGAGAGATCTGGAATAATATGTCTCTAATTATTGATTTTTGGTAAAAGTGTCGTCTACTTGTTTAAATTCATGGTTGTAGGAGCAGAATTTTAATCTAGAAGTTCAACCGTGTAGGAGAGAATGGTGGGAGGTAGAATTTAGCCTGTAATGTAACAAATCTTTATTATGAATAATTTACTCAGGTCTATCTGGATCATAAACTATAGTGGAATTATATGGTAATCTCAAGCAGAGCTTCTGTTAAAGAGTTTCTCTTTTTGGATATGAGGTACGGTCCAGTGAGTTTGTTTCTAATGTGGAAATCATGGTGCACTGAGGGTGGTGAATCTATAATCATTGACAAGCCTGTACACAGTACCTTGCTGTCACCTCGATCTCATTCTATAACTATAACAGGTTCAATCATGATAGAAAGTTAAAACTGAAAAATATCCAAAGAATGAACTTCAGAAACCTGCTCAAATACTTCCTGATTATGGTAAACTGATCTGAGTTTTAAGTAGCTTCCTGGTCTCTCAAATGCAGTCTTGGTCGAGACATCGGTTAATGCAAATGCCAATATATTTATATATACTAGAGTCAAATTAATAAGGATTTCGTACAAAATGATGTGTGCAAGGAACATATCTACCTTGTAAATTTTAATGACCTCAACATGCTTATGTATATTGATTCTAGGCTTGGCCCAAATGCTAATTTGTTTGTTTTTTGCATTCTATTATGTAGAGCTTTAGATTTTGCATATGGGTAATGCTGGCAAAGTCTAGGCCATCTGCACACTTTTGAGATGTCTCATGGCTGCAGCATGGGCATGTTATTGCAACAGTTTATTTGTTTAGGTCAAAGAATTTAAATGGACCACAATAAAAGTCATTTGAAGAAAATTCAACATCTTCCCAGTTCCGGGCCACTTAGTATGCCAGACTTAATTGTACAAGTCAGGGCAATTAATTTAAAACCTATTTTGTTGTAACAGATCAAAATCTTGATGTCTAGCTGATTTAACAGGTAATTCTTGCCCTTATAGGCAAATATTTTCTCCAAGTTCTCAAGAATTATCAAGTACAGAAGTTCTTTAAAATATGGATGCCATGCTTGATTATATTTTCAACTGTGGTGAATATCTTGAAGCAGCTGGTAATTATTTGTATGCATCATGTTGCTTATTTATATTATATTTAGGTTTCTGCAGTTGGAATAAATACTGAATGGGGCCTGTTAATGGCCAGTATCTCAGAGGATAATGGTGAAGAAACTCCTCTGCAGGTTTGGTTCCTTATGCAATATATGTATGACTACTATCAGTAATGAAGCCCATCTCATCAGAATCATGTTCTGAATAGGTGCGCTTGAATGGGCTTGCTACTTTCATTGGTATAGTAGGGTTGACTGTTGCTGTTGTTGTTCTTGTAGTCCTTTTGGTTAGGTAAGTGACAACTCTCTTTTGCCCTTCTAACACATTTAATTACTTAATCACCACGAAGATCATTATGACTTCTCAGATATTTCACTGGACATACCAAGAATCCTGATGGATCTGCACAATTTATAAAGGGACAGACCAGTGCAAAAGCTGCAGTAAATGGAGCCATTAAGATCTTGACAATTGCAGTATGTATTTAATTCTATGAACTTATACTAATCTCCTAACTTTGCTGCTTATCTCCATGTATACTTGGTCTGAGTCATCGACGACTATGAAACTTGAGTAGGTTACTATTGTGGTTGTGGCAGTACCCGAAGGACTTCCATTGGCTGTTACTCTGACGTAAGTGCATAAATCTTCTCTCATAAGCTAGAGAAGCTAGCTTCACCTATTTTACTGTCCGGATTTACCTTATTTCCTTTATTTTGATCAGCCTAGCATATTCAATGCGGAAGATGATGGCTGACAAGGCTCTGGCAAGTGTTTACTCGAGTTGTGATGTTGTTTTTTGACATGCATAATTAAATTGTTCTAAGGTGATTGTTTTGCAGGTGCGGAGGCTTTCTGCATGTGAAACTATGGGGTCAGCTACAACAATTTGCAGTGATAAGACTGGAACATTGACCCTGAATCAGGTTGGCTAATTGTTTCGGTGATGCTTTCTTGGTGTTTGTTGTTGCACAGTGACTACACTGGTTTGGTTTCTAATAACCGTGGGGAGAATCCTTAGTAGTAGTATTTGACTTTTTTCTTGAAAAATATAGATTTTATATGTTTCTTCTTGATCTCTAAAAATAGTTAACCATATAGATGACTGTTGTGGAAGCATATATTGGTGGAAAAAAGATTGACCCTCCTGACAATGTGCGGTTGATATCTTCTTCTGTATCTTCTCTTCTATATGAAGGAATTGCTCAGAATACAACAGGCAGTGTGTTTAAGCCAGAGGTAATCTCTCCCCCTCCCTTTTACTGGTGGATATAACTTATTTCTCGTTATGTGTCCAGATCCATCTAATGCTGTTAGTCTCCTGACCTGTTTCTAACATATTGGCTAGCAAACTGATGCAACAATATAACTATATGAAAAAAAATGCAGAAAGTCATGGAGAACAAAGTTGAGAAAGGAGAAAGTGGATAGTTGACTTAGGATGACTATTTTGCCTAAATATGAATAACCAAGACAATTTGCATTCTCCTTCTAGAAACCCTTGAATTCTTTTTTTTAATTTTTCAAATATATAAACTAAAAAAAAACTATTCACCCTTTTTCCTCTTTTCTTAATAACACTGAATAATGCAAAATATGGAAGAAACCAAGGTTCGCAATTTCGCTTCATACTCAGGTATGGTACGTACCGAGGCATATCGATGGTCCGCTAGGGCATACTGAGCTGTATGCCTTAAATAGCTGAAGTAGTATTTGTGAGTTGGTAGGCGTACCGAGAAGTATGCCTACCAACTCATAGAGCTCGTAGTATTTGTGCGGGGAGAGCAGAGAGGCCCGTAGCTCCAATAACATCTTCACCGAGTACCTGAGCGCGTCCTTCAAGTCATTGGAATCCTAACACAGGATAGGAGATCAGGGTCAAACGAGAAGCAGAACAACTTTGGGCTAATGGTGAAGGTTAGGGTTAGCAATTAGGGCATCGTAAGGGGATTGGGTTCCAACCAAGGCGCAGTGCATGTAGAAGGCATTGTGCTGGATGCCAGCGATGCCCTCTGCCAGCCACTTCTCCTCATCGTCGCCATGTGGCAGCATCTCCATGCCCTACAGTTAATCGATGCAGCTCCTTCTTGTGTTGCCGTGGCGATCTCTCCGTGATCTCGGTCTTCTTTCTCTACCTTGGATTTAATCCCATTCTTCTTCTTGCAACTAATATTCTCCGCCATTGCGATTTGGGTTGGAAATTTGATGACGGGATTGCTTGCATCAATATTCCCTGCGTTTGCATGCTGAAAGATCGAGCTTTATGCTTCCGCCCAATACAACCCCATATCGCTCGATGCGGGGTCAAGACTTTGGTATTGCCCGATAACGAGCGGTCCGTGTAGTAAGAAGCTCTCGGACCAATACGTACGACGTGTATCGGTCAGTACACATCAAAATTAAAAACCTTGGAAGAAACACTTATGTTAAAAACGATTACTCTAGCCATCTGGTTTAAAAAGGAAAATCATATTCGTGAATTCAAAATGGTACATATAAGCAAGGTATGCAATTTCGAATAATACTGTTCAGTACGGGCGGTACGTATCGGTTCGTCAGCTGATCGGTACACGGACTGCCCATTACCGGATGGAACGGAATATATATATAGACACACACACACACACACACACACACACACACACATATATATATATATATACACACACACACAAGGCGACGTCG